TGAGGTTTAAGAATTAAGCTGATGCTGGTATCATAGAAAGAATTTTGGAGGATTCCCTCCCTTTCAACTGTTTTGAATGGGTTGAGAAGAACTGGAGTTGTTTCTTCTTTAAATGTCTGGTAGAATTCAGCAGAGAATCCATCTGGTCCTGGGCTTTCTTTGTTGGGAGGGTCTTTATTACTGATTAACTTTGCCTCTTGGTTTTGGGTCTGTGTAAGTTTTCTTTGTCTTCATGGCTCAATTTAGGTGAGTTGTATGCATCCAGAAATCTATCTATTTCTTCTAGGTTCCCCAGCTTGTTGGCATACAACTCTTTGTAGTAACTTCTGATGATTCTTTTTATTTCTGTGGTGTCTGTTGTTACATTTCCCTTTTAATCTCTAATTTTATTAATTTGGTTCTTCTCTCTCCTTTTTTTGGTTACTTGGGCAAGTGGAGTGTCAATTTTGTCTATTTAAAAAAAAAACAAGCTCTTCACTTTGCTGGTCTTTTGTATTTTTTTTTTTGCTTCAATTTTGTTGATTTGTTCTCTAATTATTTATTTTCTCCTACTAGTTTTGTGTTTTGGTTTGCTGTTGTTTTTCTAGACCCTTGAGATGTGTTGATAGCTCATTTATTTGGTGCCTTTCCAATTTCTTGATGTAGGCACCAATTGCTATAAATTTTCCTCTTAACACTGCAGTTGCTGTATCCCATAAATTTTGATGTTATACTGTCATCTTCATTTGTTTCCAGAAATATTTCGATTTCTCTTTTGATTTCTTCTGTGACCCACTGTTCATTCAGGAGCATATTGTTTGGTCTCCATGTGTTTGCATATGTTCTAGAGATTCCTGAGTTGCTGATTTCCAGCTTCATTGTACTGTGGCCTGAGAAGAAGCATAGTATGATTTCAATTTTTTTGAATTTGCTTAGACTTGCTTTATGGCTTAGCTTGTGGTCAATCCTAGAGAAAGTTTCATGCATTAGTGAGAAGAATGTGTATTCTGCAATGTAGGATGGAAAGTTTTGTAGATATCTGTTAGGTCCATTTAGTCTATAGAATCAATTAACTCTGTTGTTTCCTTGCTGGCTTTCTGTCTGGTTGATCTGTTCACTGCTGGAAATGGGGTATTGAAGTTACCAATTACTATTGTATTTGAGTCTATGTCTCCCTTAAGATCCCTTAACATTTCTTTTAAATAGCCAGGTGTGCTGTAATTAGGTGCATATATGTTTATAATAGTTACATCTTCCTGTTGAATTGATCCCTGAATCATTATGAAGTGTCCTTCTTTATCTCTTTTAACAGTTTCTGTGTTAAAGTCTATTTCATGGGAGAAATCTTCTCTTATGTACAGATTTTATTAGTTGGTGCATTTGCTTCTGATTGTTTCTATGTAATTTTTTTTAAAGATTTATTTATTTATTTGAAAGTCAGAGTTACAGAGAGAGAGGAGAGAGAGAGAGAGAGAGAGGTCTTAGAGAACTGGATTGGAAGCAGAGCAGCAGGGTCTTGAACTGACACCCATATGGGATGCTGGCACTTCAGATCAGGGCGTTAACCCACTGCGCCACAGCGCCGACCCCTCTATGCAATCTTATAATCAATTTTTTAAATTCCATTTCTCTCATTTCTTCAAACTTCATCTTCACAATCTAGTATTGAAGTGTTATATTGTTCTGGGGGTGTCATGTTGTGTTCCTTATTCTTGTTTCTTGAATTGATGTGTTTATTATTTGGCATTTGTGGAGATGCTCCTTAGTTTCTTCTTTATTTTTTTGCTGTGGTGGCTTTTATCTTTGTACTAAGTCTGCATGGATTAATGGAGTATCTGCTTTCAGGAAATACCTAGAGATATGTGGTAAGTGTGGCCAGAGAGCTCTGTTCAGTGCTCCAGAGTGAAGGGAGTGTTAAGGTGACATCTAGGTTGGGCATGGTAACTCCCCCTGTTCTTTTTTTTTAATCAGAGGGGAGGTTTTTCTTCTATTGGTGTAGACCCAGCTCATTTCCTCTCCTCAAAATAGACCAGTGCCTATTCATCCACATTTCCACAGGGACCACACAAAGGATCTGTGCAGTCCTCAGTGTAAGCAGATTCCCTGGCAGTGTCCCTCACCAGGTGATCAGGGAGCTCTGAGGGTGTGGAGCCTCCCACAGTGACTACCCCAAGTCCCAGCCACACCCTGAGCCTTCCCATGCAGCCACAGTGTTTTCAAAGCCCCACAGTCTCAGTGTTTTCACAGTCCTGGCACACAAGCCTCCCACAGTCATGAGTACCCAGCCCCCAGTTTCTTCTCCCCACCAGACTCAGGAATCTCTGCTCTGCTGGGTGGTGGGCATGGACCTGAGCTGGTGCAGCTGTTACGTATGTCCAAAATGGTACCTGCTCCATATTGACTTGTTACAGGATGCCCTTGCAGTGTGATAGGAGAGAGAGAAATGTGGCCCCCCTTTTTCCTCCTCTAGTTTGGCAGGTACACTGTCCCCTACAGGGCTCCAAGCCAGAGACCCTCCAGGCTTTTCCTGCAGCTTTATTGCCAGCGGTTTGGGCTGCTGCATTCTAATCTCCACTCTCTTCAAAGCTGGTTTGGAGGCTCTTAACTGCTGGGGTCCTGATTTGTGTGTGTCCACACTCTCCTCGTAGGTCCACTGTGTCCCTCTAACTTGCATGTTGTTTCCTCTGCCATTTTCTCCCTCACTGTTCCCTGAGACTGCACTCTCTCCACTTTTTTTAAACTATCTTCTCTTAGACTAGAGCGGTAAACTCCCTCCCTACTCCACCATCTTAATCTTCCTCTCTATTTCCTGATTTTCAACTGTGACTTGCTTTCCTTCTAAATTTATGATGTGCCCATGATAAAGGAAGAACGTGACAAACCCCATGCTAGAAAAGCCTGTTATTCCCAAGTTTATGATAGAATTCCTACAATGTTATGTTTTGCTTTTCCAACAGTGAAAATCATTCCTGCTCATTTTCACACGATTTCTGAGTGAGTTCTACCCATTGAAATTTGAGGACTTGCACTGATAACAACTTCCTGATTTGTGCTCCGGGACTGCCTTCTGAGAAATCAGACAGGTCAATGATGTGGTTCGATGATCTTTAATTGCATGTCTGACAGTGTTTGCAAATAAGGCTTTATTGTAGTCTTGACTTAACTGTATTTTCTTATCTGGCCTGTCTCTAGGGCACATTGAGAGGATGCATAGAGGAATGGTGAAGTTTGAATCAAAGTAATTACATTTCAAAGGTTTTGGATCTTTATTACAATTACAAAAAGCCAATAATATAGTTTATTATTCTCCTATTTCAAGTCTTTGACTTGTAATGCTATAGATCGCTGTACTGATTTATTCCACAGATTGCTTTAAAAAGGGCAGCATCAGTAATTTTCATTTACAAATTACTGCATCTTGTTGTCAGTATCTTCTAAAATATTATTCTCAGCATATGTGATTCATGAAGACAGGCAGATGGTAAATTTCCCTTTGGCAAAATACATTAAAACTCTTTCATTCTGTCATCCTTTTGCAAGTTCTTACTGTGATGAGCTCTTACTGTTAACAAATTGGGTGAGATAATGTCTTTAAGATTATAATACTTTGAAGAGAGAGGATAAATTCTTTTCTCTTGGTTATAGTTCAATTAAATCTGCAGCAGCCATACATCACTGTGGTGTTAAAGGTCACGTGAATACCAGCTTGTCGCGTGTGCTCTCTTCGTTTGTTCTACACAGCTAGAGTTAGGCATTTAGCTGGCAAGTCAAATCACCCCTTCTCTGGTAGGTCACTAATAGCATTCAGAGGAAGAAAGATCCTCTGACTATCACCCATTAGGAACCATTTGACAGACAATAGTGCCAGGGACTCAAAAAGATCTGGAAGTCAACACTAAGTGATGGGAAGGCAGTGCCTTCACTGCATGAGAAGTTTGAGGAAATAAGCAATTAGAAGTCTGACCAATCTAAAGAAGCCTGAAACAGAAATGTATCTGGGACTCCATGCTTTCCTCTTTCTTCCCTGGTATTGTGTTGGTTAAGGACAAGCAAAGTCAGAACTGCTCATGTATGTCAATTGCCATATCTCACTCCACCTCAGGGTCCCCTATTGGCCCCCTAGACTTTGTCAAGCTTCAACAAAGTCAAAATAGAAGTCTCCATGGTTTTCCATCAAAAGAAAACACCAGTCCCCAACCATCCTTATGAATAGCTCTTGTTTCATTCTGGATCCATTTGCCAAGTGCTATTAAAAAGTGACTGATTTGCCAATATTGCTTGAATAATCTCTACAGATAGTATTAGAGGACAACATTCTTATTTATTTTTTATTTATTTATTTTTTTGACAGGCAGAGTGGACAGTAAGAGAGAGAGACAGAGAGAAAGGTCTTCCTTTCCCGTTGGTTCACCCTCCAATGGCCGCCGTGGCCAGAGCACTGCAGCCGGCGCACCGTGCTGATCCGATGGCAGGAGCCAGGTGCTTCTCCTGGTCTCCCATGGGGTGCAGGGCCCAAGCACTTGGGCCATCCTCCACTGCACTCCCTGGCCACAGCAGAGAGCTGGCCTGGAAGAGGGGCAACCGGGACAGAATCCGGTGCCCCGACCAGGACTAGAACCCGGTGTGCCGGCGCCGCAAGGTGGAGGATTAGCCTATTGAGCCACAGCGCTGGCCAGTGGACAACATTCTAAGGATCCTTCCTATTCAAGTCGGTCCCTGTCCCTCCCCTGTCTGTCCTATCTCCCTTCCCCTAGCGTTCAGCTGCATCCAGAAGCTGGGGTAGGGCAGACTGAACAGCCCTCAACTTTCTCTTAGGAGAAACAACCACACTTGACGTGACAATGGGAGCAGTCAACTGAAGCTAAATAATTAATGGGAACTAGTAAATTAGCTAAATTGGCCTTCAAAGAATCAGACCGACTGCTTCCTTCATGTTCTTATCAATCCTCAAGGGATGAAACTACATCTTCAGGAACAGAACTTGGTTTAATCCATAGCAGATAGCAACTTGCAGTCACAATTAAGAGATGGGCACGCACCAAGGCAGCACCATCAGCAAACAGCAGGTGGTACCAGATATTGACAAGACCTTGCTGTGTGGATACAAAGTAGGGAATCAGACAGGGAATTGGAATCCTATGGCCAGGGCACCTTGGGGACAGATGTGCTGGCTAATGTTTAAATCCAGGTTTTGGTGAGAGAAACCTCTTGGGGTCTCATCCTTCCCTTTTTTGTCTCCTCTTTTTCTAATGCTTTCAGCATCAATAGGGCCACTCCAGATGACTGCATAGGACGTGGACTGTACCACTCCAGGGTGGTGTGAGAACAACAGAAGTGTAAATTTCACAGTCCTTGGGAGCAGTACATGCCATGCTAAGTTAAGCCCATAGGAAGTGAAAAGCATGACAGGCTTGTATCACCTAAGGTTGAATCCGAAAATCAGTTAGAATTTGGGAGGACGGGTAAACAAAGAACAAAACTATGACTTCCTAAAATCGAACTGAGATTTGTGTTGTACTTTATTGTGTGCAAGTTACTTTCCCACGCAATGTCGCTTTCAGCCGCCAAAGAAGCCCTTGAGTTGAATGTGCTGCTGTTCCTAGGAGAGGAAATGAAGTTAGACAACTTGCTCAGTATCAAACAGGCAGCGACTGATGGGCAGGGGCTTGAACGTGGTCTCCTAAACCTCTGTCTTACACCATGATGATCACATCATACCGCCTAAATCTTACACTGGTGAATCTCCAAAAAGATTAGCAGCCATCTTCCCCACACTGTCTACAAGTCATCAAGCAAAGATCCAGTCAAATAAAATGTATGAAGTCTTCCCTTTAGGAAACTCAGTAATGTGTAGTAGTTGATAGAGAGCCTCAGAAGGCCTGATGGGAAAGAACTGGCTTTGCCTTTTCCAGCATTTCTCTCATTTTTTATTCTGTAGTACAGTTTTCCCAATTTATGTGAATATCTCATAGAGACATGTTCCATAAAACACATCTCAGGTAGTATTGCTAAGCAAAATAGAACATGATTAATCAAATTCGAGCTTTCGATTTATAAAATAATTTTTTATTATAAGTATGTAATTGTATGGGACCTACTAAATAATTATTTAGTTTTTTATTTGCACTCAAGTTTAACTGGTATCCTGCATGTTTATTTGCTAAATTTGGAATTCTTAACCTTGGGAAATGCTGTCTTTCCTTTTCAATAGGGAAACTATACTTATAATTTTATTTATTCTTTTAGAACAGGAACTATGACTGTGATTAGTGCTGTACACTAATGAGGAAAAAAACTGACCATAATATCAGAACCATGGAACTCTACACCTAAGTGGAGGTTGGAATGATGGCTTCTCTTCCCACAAATGTGCTTGGAGCATTTTTAGTCTTAGAATAGACTCATGGAGCAGACACATGGCAAAGCTGAGCAAAGCCAACTGAAAAATGGACAACTATGTGACTTGGAACTCAATGGCTTGAGCACCCAAATGCTTAGAACGAGATAAGCACCCACATGCTTATCCAAATGCTTAGAACCAGAAGTGTTTTTGGATTTCAGGTCTGTTTAGATGTTGGAACATAAGCATATACAAAATGAGACATCTTGAGGATAAGATCCTAGTCTAAACACAAAATTCATGCATGTTTTCTAAACACGGTATATACATACCCTGAAAGTAATTTTATACAAATTTTTAAATGATATTGTACCTGAAACAAAGTTTCTTTGTGTGGAATTTTCCACTTGTCACATTACATCTGTGCTCAATAATTGATAGATTTTGGAGCATTTGGGATTTTGCATTTTGGACTAGGGGTCATCAGCCTGTGATATGTCCGTGGCACCTTTGCAAATGCCTCTTGACCACTTCCAGACAGGTGACACGCAGCTCCTCAGTCTACAACACTCCCTCCCAGGTCGCCATGTTAACTCAGCTCTCTCTCTAATCCCATGGTCTATGCCCCCAACAGTCTTCACCCCCACAGTGACTTTTGTATCTCCTCTCTCAGGGGTAACCCCATCCACCCTGTCATCTTACAGATCTTGCTTATCTTACAGGACCCTGCTTATCTTACCTCCAATAACTCTTGATGGGCCTCCTAGCCTCTATACTACCCAGCTCCTTACTAGGGTTGTCTTAACAGCCAAAACTTGCAGTGATTTCCCTCTGCCCATACAGAAGAGGCAGGGTACCATAAGAGAGCTGGTAGAGGCATTGTTGTCAGCCCTCTCTAAGTCTCATGTGCCTCATTTGTAGAATGAGGCACAGGAGACCCGGGAGCCACACCACTTTGGTCACTCCTCCTTGTTCTGTGATTATTTGTCTACTCACTCTGACTCTACCTTATATCATTAATGTCGAGAAGACAAATATAATTTCTTATTCAGTTTTCTATTTAAAATCTCCCTTGGCCATCCTCCTCCCTCCATGGTATTTACCAGTGCTCCTCGAACGTTGTAGGCACTTGGTCGTTGTCCCTTGTATCTGATGAATCAGAGATCCTCATACTAATTGGTGAGCTACTGGATATGGTCCTGTTTAAGCTGGGGAAGAGGCGGTTATTTCAGTTGGGAAGGAAGCCCCTGGAGTGATCAGGGACAGAGAGTTCCCTCCACAGGCTGGCAATCAGCACTTGGGTTCAACCCACCAGCTGTCAGTCACAACCCCAGAGTACACTGCATTGGACAATCAGCAATCCATTGCCACGGACAGTGGGCCACTCAGTGTGCGTTCTACAGCCAACATGGGCCAGTGACCTATCTAAAAAGGAGACAAAAGACAGGAAGCGTTATTGTTTCAGACAGCAAGTTAGGATATTAACCAAATAATTTATTTTACAAGCTAATTTGGGGGACCTGTGTTGTGGCGTAGTGGGTTAAGCAACATATGTGAAGCTGGCATCCCATATCAGAGCACAAGTTCAGGTGTCCCGACAGCTCTGATTATGACCCAGTACCCTGCTAATGCACCTGGGAAAGAAGCAGAAGGTGGCCCAAGTGCGTGGGTCCATGACACCTGCATAGGACACTCAGATGGAGTTCCAGGCTCCTTGCAGGCAGAGGATTAGCCTAGTGAGCCGCGGTGCTGGCCGGCCCATTTGCTATTATATCATTTATTTCAAAGACGTTTCAGACAAGGTATTTTTCAAAACTCATTTTTAAAATTACAGTTTTTTTAGATATATCATTCTGAAGGTCAAGTGTCACATGTTCTGCCCTGATTTCTTGTAGGCCTTGAGTACTTGAAAAGTAACATTTTCTTGCCTGTATTAATGGCAGAAAAGAGTTTATGGACTTGCAGACATGGCACTTCGTTTCAGTAACTCAGATCTTCATTGTGGCGCCAAGGCACTGCTCATACATGTGTTTGGCAGTGGTCTGGGGTCTCTGTAAGTGCTGGGGGCTGTGGCTACTGCTCCCTGGGTGTCCTCTCTGTGTCCCCCTGTCCCTGTCTCCGGGTGGTCTCCCCAGCATGGTGACTTCAGAGCAGCTGGAATTTTTATATTGTTCCCTGACTCCAAAGCCATATATTCTGGGAGAGGCAGCCAGCAAAGTCCACATCATCTTTCCTGAACCAGCCTCAGAAATTCTGCCATGGAGGGGCTGGCGCCCTGGCTCACTTGGTTAATCCTCTGCCTGCAGCGCAGGCATCCCATATAGGCACCTGGTTTCTAGTCCTGGTTGCTCCCTTTCCAGTTTAGCTTTCTGCTGTGGCCCGGGAGGGCAGTGGAAGATGGCCCAAGTGCTTGGGCCCCTGCACCCACATAGGAGACCAGGAAGAAGCACCTGGCTCCTGGCTTCAGATCAGCACAGCTCTAGCCATTGTGGCCATTTGGGGGGTGAACCAACGGAAAGAAGACCTTTCTCTCTGTCTCTCTCTCTCTCTGACTATCTATATCTCTACCTGTCAAATAAAAAAAAAAGAAATTCTGCCATGGCCCATCCACCATCCACCATCTACCAGCTGGGGCAGCCACAGAGACTCAGCCAGGGGAGGGGAGTGGCAGGAAAGACAAAGTTCTGCAAGAGCATGTGGACCAGAAATCTTGTCGCAAGTATTTCTGGAAATACACATTCCATAAGTAATTAATTAATATCTTTGAATTAATATTCATTCTTCAAACATCATACTCCTTCCATTAGACGATAATGCCGCTTCAAAACAAAGCATCCAAAAATATGAATTAATTCAACTCGCTTTTTCCTGAGGCCATAAGAACACCAATACATTTCCTCGGAATCCTCTACTCCTCTTGTTTCTCTTTCAATCAGCCCCTGTGGCTGCCCTCTCCATCAACTGCCTGTGAACTTTTCTGAAACAATGCATTGATATTTCATTTCCATTAGCGTTATTTAAAAATAATAAAAAGAAACCACCAAGAGAGGCTGGCGATGCGGTCCAGCAGGTTAAATTTGCTGCTTGAGATACCCTCATGCCATATGGGAGTGCCTGGATCAAGTCTCACCTCTGCTGATCCAGTCTCCTGCGAATGCACACCCTGGGAGGCAGCAGGCGGTGACTCAGTTTCTGCCACCTGTGTGAGAGACCCAGCTTGAATTCCTGGCTGCTAGTGCTGGCCTGACCCAACCCCAGTCTCAACATCCATCTCTCTCTCTCTCTCTCTGCCCCCCTCTTTACCTTCCTGCCTTTCAAACAAACAAATAAGATAACACTAAGAGCCCCCATGGTAAACGTATGAGTGCATAATTTGTAACAGAGAACCTTCAACTAGTTAACAAATACAAGAGTACTTCAAAACATTTATGGAAAACTGAATTAAAATACAACACACTTTTTATATGGGCTCTTTGAAAACCCCTTATATATAGAAAAATATTCTATTTCACTAGTACTTGTTCAAGTTAAATCAGTGAGAAACTTTTGCCCATCCACCACCTTATTAACCCCTTGTGGTGAGCATGATCACTTGGATTATCAACCAAAAGATTTGGCACTGCAAATGGAATGTAATTTGGAATGTTTAGTTTAGGAAGAAAGCTTTTAGCTAAGTTTTTAGCCATTTTTTTCCCTCTTAGCTCATTTTTGTCAAGAGATTTCACTAAGTACCATTTTGAAAAATCTCTCCTAAGGGAAAAAAAAAATCCTAAACTTGAATAATAACTGTGTACACTCTCATGCAATTATTTATACTAACATATGTATTACTCAGTATTTTGTTACTATAATTAGAATATCTAACATGTATTAGTCAGCATTTTGTTAGTACAACTAAAATATCTAACAGGAGTGCCTTGGCAAGGAAGAAGTTTTATTTTGCTTACAGTTATGGAGGTTCACAGTCTAAGGTCAGGCAGCCCAATTGTTCCAGGGCTCTGGTGAAGACAGAGCATGGTGGAGAACCATTCACAGGGCCAGCCAAGAAGCAGAGCAACCCAGGGAGCCAGCTTACCTCTTTGGTCCCTCCTTGTAAAGCCACTTGGGCTTGATCACCCAGCTCCACCCCACCAACATAATCCCATCCATTGGATTCCCAAAGGCTCTGCCTTCAGACACCATAATTGGGTCGGGTGTGTACTCTCCCAACAATGCTAACCTAAGACAGTAGAGTTTCAACATGTGCATGAGCCATGGAGCCAAAGCACATTCAACTACAGCACCATAAGGCTGAAAACAGTCCAGGGTTTTCATAACAGTTAATAGAGGAATGACTTACACCATTGGGTGCTACCTGGAGGTATTCTACACTCATGAATTGTAAGATTTGTATAAAAATATAAGTGGGAAAAGAAGCTTATGGAATTCAGTTACTTTCATCTATATAAAAACAATAAAAGCTATGGAATACTGGAGTTATAGAGTTCATTGTAGCTATCCCTGTATTTTTCATAGTGTCACTGTTAATTATGTATTTCTTTTAAAAACACTAAACTTATCCAAGCTTTGATTCATCCTACAAAGTTTCCTAATTTTTATTCCTTTCTGAGTACTAGTATTTATATACTCTCTTTATCAAATTTATAAATACTGAACAGCATATTTTGTTTTTCTCTTTTTTTTTTTGGTAATTTTTTATTTATTTTTTTTTTTAAGGCAGAGTGGACAGTGAGAGAGAGAGACAGAGAGAAAGGTCTTCCTTTTGCCATTGGTTCACCCTCCAATGGCCGCCGCGGCCGGTGCACTGCGGCTGGCTCACGGCGCTGATCCGAAGGCAGGAGCCAGGTGCTTCTTCCTGGTCTCCCATGCGGGGGCAACCGGGACAGAATCCAGCGCCCTGACCGGGACTAGAACCTGGTGTGCCGGCGCTGCAAGGCGGAGGATTAGCCTATTGAGCCACGGCACCAGCCATCATATTTTGTTTTTCCACATTGACTTTGCTTTTTAAATTCATCTAGAAATTAGAAATCTAGGCAGCTTTAATTTTATAATGAGCTACTGATACCAGTGTATTTGGAATTTAGCATCATCTGACTGTTAAGTCTCAGTATTTACCCTGCAGTGTACATTCAACTTATAGATAACTTCCCTTGAAGGTAGTGCCATGGAATGCAGTTGATGATAAATACAATAAGACTATACAGGACTGGTATTCTGGTGCTGCAGATTAAGCTACTGCCTGTGATGTCGGCATCCCAGATGAGTACCAGTTTAAGTGGTGGCTGCTCCACTTCCAATCCAACTCCCTACTAATGCACCAGAGAAAACAGCAGAAGATGGTCCAAGTACTTAGACCCTTACTCCCCATGTGGAAGACCCAGATGGAGGTTCAGGCTCCTGGCTTCAGCCTTGCCTAGCCTTGCCCATTGTGGACATTTGAGGAGTGAACCAGTGAATGGAAGATCTCTCTCTGTGACACCCTCTCTTTCTGTAACTCTGACTTTTAAATAAAAGAAAAGACATCTTTTTTAAAAAGGAGGGAGAGAGACAAGGAAAAAGCAAAGGTAAAATAAAACAATTTTTATTACTTTTAAAAATGCTTATTTTAATTTATTTGAGGGTGACACACAATGAATCAAATCAATGGATAAATTTTTTTTTAAAAAAGACAGTAATATTATGTGAAAGAGGATGTTTTTTGTGAGAAATGAATTTTTAAACATTTATTTATTTATTTGAAAGTCAGAATTACAGAGAGGGAGAAAGCTGGAGAGGTCTTCCATCTGCTGGTTCACTCCCCAGATGGCCACATGACAAACATTGGGGAAGGCCAAAGCCAGGAGCCAGGAGCTTCGTCCCTGTCTCCCACGCGGGTGCAAGGGCCCACGCACTTGGGCCGTCTTCTACTGCTTTCCTAGGCCGTGAGCAGGGAACTGGATCAAAAGTGAAGCAGCCAGGGCTTGACCTGCTGGCTTCTTGGGAGGCAGCTTTACACGCTGTGCCACAATGCCGGCTCTGAGAAAAGAATTTTTAAAACCGTGTAGGAAATTTGGGGACCTGCAAAATGTATTTGAACGTTTCAGTTTTTCACCTCATTTTAGGTACTTCCCTGCCCTCTGGAGTTGGAGAGTTGTCAAGTATCTATTTCCTTATCCTGTGTCCAATTTGTCCTAGGGCAATTTCTGCTATTTTAGACTTCTCCAGCCATCAGTTCTCTAACTAAACAGCCCTAATCATCTGTTTTGGAATAAAGGGCAAAAATACTACCAAGGACTATACACTCTGAAATAGAGAAACACTGACACTTCACTGAAACTTAATGACTAAGATTGCTTTAAGCTTATTGCTTTGACAAGCTTGGATATAGGATTTCCCATAATATTTTTCAAGGTTATAAATAAATAACAGATTAGATCCAACCGACATGCTGAGAGATGACAAGTGTAATGAGCTGGGTTCTCAGCTGTAAACAACAGAATCCTTTGCCTTTAGTTTGAATAAATGGATTTATTATGGATATAGTTAGCCTGTAAACTCGCCAGAGAGGCTCCAAACAGAGACTGAATACTCACTTGCCAGAAATGATGCCCAGAGCCACATCCCACAGCAACCTAGGGCTGCACCTGCCGCTCTCAGGAAACTTCCAACTCCGAGTCGGCTGCCAGCACAGACGCCAAGTCTGGAGCCACGCTACCTTTGCACAGCCTGTGCCAGCAGAGTGCTTTGCCCTGTGCTCCCTCGCTGGGAACAGGAAAAGCTGAATCACAAGGCTATGTGGCACTTCGTATTTCATTTCTTCCTAGGAGGAAAGAGCTGAAACCCTCTCTCTGGGAAGGAGGACCAGGACCTCAGCTTACCTTCCTATTTTTAAGCCTCTTCTTCTCCAGTGTGGGTAAGGAAGCCTTTGGGTGTTTGTTAAAATATACTCCGTTGCAACTAAGAATTAATTTTCCTGCCTTTTTTTCTTGGCTATTGTGTCATTAAATAGGTATTTTTTATTTATTAAAATTTCTCCATATAGTTTGTGAATGAGACATAAACGGAGGTATCTCAGTTGACATAGTCGGGAGCTAAACTAGACAACCAGTTTCCTTCCTAATATAGTCACAGCTTTGGGCAGCTTACCCCAGGGTTGTTTGAATCATCGGTATAGTAAGTAGTGTCTCTGTGCCCTTCCCAGGAATCCTCAGACACAGCTGGGGAGACAGCTATACTCTGTGAACCCACAGAACAGGAGCTCCATTTTAAGTCTTAAAGGGAAGAAGCTACCTCTGAAGTCCGGGGGTCTTAGGGTTTCAGTTTTTTAAATCCAGGAGATGCATACTACAATTAACAACTGCTTGGTGGTGTTTGATACCCACCACCTAACCTGACATTAGATAGATCTTGTGCTACATCCAGCAACAGTAATTTTTTTAAGATTTATTTATTTACTGGAAAGTCAGAGTTACACAGAGAAGAAGAGGCAGAGAGAGAGA